GAACCACATTGAACCAACTCTTTCAAACCTACCTTTGCCTCCAGTCACACATGCACTTACCATTCTTTGACATCACTCAATACGGCTAAGGCTCTACAACAATTATCCTTTTCCACTAGTCATTGAAGAATGAGGAAATCACTATAGAAGGCTTGGTTCATGATGCCCAAAACAAGGCCCACTTCTGGTATGCATGGGATGAGCTTCGAAATGTTGAAATGACATAAGGAGCCTTTTGTGGCAAAACTAGCCACTTCTTTGTATAAGAGTTGTTCGACTATTTCTACTTGACGAACAGAATATGGACATATTGTTCGTCAGTCAAACCAACTACCGAACGGGAGACCACCCAGTGGAGTCGTGTGTCTCCAATTGAGGATTGTTACACTTTGAATCTAAATTGTCAGATGGGTGGCCACCGTTCGTATGAACAAATATGTGGCGGCGACCATCTTTGCGCACTAACACCCAGCGGTGTTTGGTCGTCAAGTTTGTGGAACTAAAAATCGGACACTCAACCTCGCAAACACCGCTTGACTTCCATCTTGTTCATACATGCATTTCCTTTCATCTAAGAAAAGCGGCATTCGACTAAATGGAGCGAACGACCATCAGACACATGACTACCCAGTTTGTGAACATTTGCATTAGTTAGTTTGTTCGTGAGAACTCCCGAAAGAAGACGGGTCAAAGCATTCAATCGCATGGAACTGTTTTGGGGCTTCACCTCGAGGCTGACCGGTCAAACTTCACTCGAATGGCTTTCCTGTTCTACCCTACGGATATTTTGGCAAAATGGGCGCTCAGATCCTTGCTATTCTTTCGTGGAGTTCTGATTAATATTTAAAGAGTTATGATGTTTTAAAATATTATTTAATTTTCTGTACTTGGGAGATAATCTACTTAAAGAATTGCGCAATTATCTTCCAAGTACAGAAAAGGATCATGGCAAATGTGTCCTTGTTCCCTGTCCTCCACAAGGAATGTAATTAAAGAAACCCCTTGCATGGGGAAATGTATAAAAGCCAGCTGTGGCTCAATAAAAATCAGTTGACTCTCAAAGCTGTGTTTCGTCCAGTTGTTGGGGAATGGGATTGGAATTGTCACGCTACACTTTAGTTGAATGCTGATCAAGTCTACCAGCGGAGATATTGCAGTTAATACTTCTACTCCGCTACACCTTTGTATTTGGCCCTTAAAATAGGAAAAGTTAGATGGGGAATGTGATACAATTGATCAGACTCAAAGTCTGATCAATATGTATAGCTTGGAGGGGAAAAGGGAGATGTGAATTTGATAAAATGTACTAGACTGAAATCCCTCTGTTTATCACAATCACATTCTTTCTCCATCACTTACTTGAGTTTCTGGTTTCAGAACCTTCCCGTTTCATCTTTGCACCACAAGCTCTCGGCTCTCTCACGGATTCTTGTTTCGCCATGCTATCAGGAACGGCCGAGTAATTACCTGTTTACCATATAATATGGACTGAGTGTGAGGTTTGTGACCCGCACCCACCCCATGACCTACAGACCTACTCTGTCACGACAACTATGATGAAAGCTACATTATTAAACAAACATAGAACATAGAAATCAAACTAGATGTTACTAAGACTGGAGAGACCAGGGTTTGGTGGGTTCCAACATCAGCTACAGATGCTGTCTACAGACTGAATCCACAGGTTTATAATGCAGGTAATCTGAATGTAGAAATGAATCCCAACACTTTAATTTCTTTCATATTTCCAGCATTATATCCTCACTGTCTTATTATAGGAAATGCCCAGCCATTCTATTATTTTACACTGATCAGCCAGAAAATAAAAACCATCTGCCTAATATCATGCAGCCAAAACAACTCTGATGCTTCAAAGCATGGACTCCACAAGACATCTGAACGTATTCTGTGGTATCTGGCACCGAGACATTGACAGCTGATGCGAGGTGGGTTCTGGAAGTAGCGAGGTGGGTCATCCATGGTTTGGATATGTGGTTCCAGCACATCCCACAGATGCTCAGCCGTATTGAGATTTGGGGAATTTGGTGGCCAAGGCAACACCTTGAACTCTTTGTCCTCAAAAATACTCAGAGTGAATTATCCAGCTGAAAAAGGACACTGTCATCAGGGAAGACCATTGTCCTGAAGTGATGTACGTGGCCTGCAGTAATCTCTAGGTAAGTGGTACATGTCAAAGATATGTCCACATGAATGTCATGACCCAAGGTTTGCAAGCTGAACATTGCCCAGATCATAAAACTTTGGAGACCTGCCATCTTCTCATAATGCTTCCTGCTGCCATTTCTTTCCCAGCTGAATCCACCTGATCTAAAAGAAAAGGTGATTCATCAGACCAGGCAACCATTGCTCCATAGTCCAGTTCTTATTCTTTCAGCACTCTGACCAGTCTTTGGCTACGTAGTGACTCATGAAGCAAACTGTGATGCACTATATGTTCTGACATCTTTCTATCATGGCCAGCATTCAGTTTTTAAGCAATTTGAGCTACAGTAGCTGTGTGATTAGACTAGACGGCTAGCCTTCACTCCCTACATGTATCAATGAGCTTTGTGTGCCCATAACCTTGATTATCCTTTCTTGCACCATTTTTGGTCGGTACTAACTGCTGCATACCGAGAACATGCTATGACCCAGTTTTTTAGCCATCTTTATTTGGCCCTTGTCAAAGTTACTCAGATCTTTTAACTCGACCATTTTTCCTGCTTACAATACATGAAATTCAAGAACTGACTGTTCACTTGCTGCCTAATATATCCCACCCATTGACAGGTGCCATTATAACGATATAATCAATGTTATTCACTTCACCTGTCATTGGTTTTAATCTATGGCTGATCAGTGTACGTTTTGAGTGACAGGATTAGTATGGGATGAAAGCCACACTCTCTCTAGGCACGAGACGTGTGTATCCATATTAAATCTAATGAATACATGGAATTTAGAAGTCACTGCTAGAAAATTAAAGACACCATGTTCTCACCCATAGAGTCAAGGAGCAGGAAATTCTCTGCCATGGTTCTTAGTTCTTCCTGTGAACACAATGACCAGATCCTGTAAGAAAAAGGGATTAACATTACATTCGCAGTTCCTTACACTCATTCAGGAAAATGTTGGTGTTACAAACTGTCATTTGTAACTGGCCCTTTAAATGACAAATTGCCCTGCTTCCCTGGGTTGTGGAGAAGCCTATTTGCCAGCCTCCTTCCGCATGACTATGGCCCCTGGGAGATTGTGAATACTTATGGTCTTTTATTGGGTGTGTATGGCCCTTTAAGACAGTCAGTGGGCATATTGGGGCTTATGGACTTTTTATGGGACTGGTGCTGGCCCTTTAGGCACCTTTTTGGGGCATAGGGAAAATTGGGACACTGCCCCTTTAAGACGGTGTCCCCAGACGTGTTTGGGACACTGCCCCTTTACAACAGTGTCCCCAGACCTGGTTAAAACCCTTTGTTCCTAGCTTTTTCCCACTTGGTTCAGTAAATAGGGCTTACTGAACCAAGTACCACACAGGCGGACCACCTGTATTGGGAGTGTGTCGGCAATTTACCTCCCAGAAGCTGCGGTTAACCGCAGCTTAATTGACAATGCTGGGTGACCTTCGTTCGTTTGCCGAACACGTGGCGGCGGCCATCTTTGTTCATTCGCATGAGGTCACCGGTATGTGTAGCCAAATTCATGGAACTAAAATCGGCTACACGTTTCCGCGAACACCGCTGGCCTGTACCTTCTCCCATACTGAACTTTCAGCCGCAGAGACTAAGTCCCATTCGGCGATGGGACTTAGTCGTTTTTTCAGCCTGAAATAGAACGACCGCACAGCCCAAATCTATGGAACGGTTTTGGGCAGGAAAATGTGCTTGCGGTCGGTCATAAAGGGACCTCCAGATAACTTTTTAACCCCTGGATGGATTTGGCTGATTTTTGGTTATGTATATATTGGAAGGTTACTGAAATATGTCATTTTTATGGAGATTGGATGTGTGGTTTTAAAGTTACAGGATATGTGTAAACACCGTATTTTTACTGCCTGTGTTTAATTATGTTAAACCATAGTGTAACATAATTATATCACAGGCAGAGGGGAGGATTTTTGTATGTAATTGCTGGGAGTGTTTCTGTAATATACGTGTATGATTGGTTGTTTTGTAAAACCCTGTGGGTGGCCCTATCTAAGGGAAACCTGCATAAAAGAAAGTTATTTTGGTGGTAATAAACAGAATGACTTGACCCTCTAAACTTGCAGCCTTGACTCATGTTTGTAGGGGACAGCTATAATCACTACAGGGATTGCTATGCTCTTCATACTCCCTTAGCTACTGAGCTCTTGTAAGAGCTCTTGTTCCTGACCCTGCTTCACTCTACAGAAGGAAGCGGTTTACCTATTGGAACCTGGAGCCTGGTCGTAGGTCCAGGGTGGATAGCAGACGTCGAAATCCTAGCCCTGCAGCGGCGGTTCGGAGTCTGCAGTACTTATGGTGTCTACGCAGTAGTTATGGTGTCTACGGTGCGGATGGTCCTTTGGTGAGCGCTAGGAGCATCCTTTCTACGGTCCAACTTCCAGCCAGCCTAGAGGCAACCGTAACAGTTGGCTTCACCAGGACTCTCCGCAAACACTAACATGAGTGTGTCTCAATACAACAGATAAGCAGTCCCGGTCTCTTCGCACACTGTATATTAAAACTGCAGCTATAAGGTTATGATGTAATGAGGTCCCCTGTCTCCTCGCACACAGTGTATTATAACTGCAGCTATAAGGTTATGATGTAATGAGATCCCCTGTCTCCTCGCACACAGTGTATTATAACTGCAGCTATAAGGTTATGGTGTGAGGAGGTCCCCTTTCTCCGTGCACATTGTATATAATAACTGCAGCTATAAGGTTATTGTAACAGTGCCCAACTGGCACCGCCATGTGACACCCGATCGGTGCGGACACGATTCTGGAAGGGAACAGTACTCAACAACATGTACCCAGTATCTTTCTGCCCGAGCCGTGTCTGCTAAAGCACTCAGGTCCAGCATCAATAAGGATGCCGGCCACTGCAGTACCATGAAATCTTATAGCGCTGCCCCAAAAACGTCAAACGTGATGCAAAAATGCAAGTGTCATCACAATATTAAAGCACACACATGTTCTGGGGTCAAAGGACCCATTTGAAACAATCAGCAGTGTTTTATGGTTATTTAAACCCTAACCTGCTTGTTATCAGTGCCCTGTTCTGGTTTCCACTAGCTGGTTATCCAAGAGTGCGTTATCTGAGCTTGTCTTCTGGTTATTTGATCTTGGCTTGTTCCTGACTATCTGCATTTCTGGTATCCTTGACATTTTGGCTTTTTCTATTCGTTTATGCTTCTGTCTGTGTCCCTGACCTCGGCTTGTTACTGACTATTCTTTCTACATTAAATCCAGCCATTCTAAGGTCTGGTAATACGTTTATCTATTCTAGTCTATTCTTCATGCTTTACTTAATTCTTTGTCATGGGCCATAGTATCTTCCTGATATTACAACTGGGTTATGGACCCTGCAGAAGTCAACACATGCTGACATGCTAGAGAAAGGTCAAGGAGATTGATCACAGCATGGATCAATTCACTCAGGCCTTTCAAACATTATTGGTTCATACTGCACATCTTCAACCAGAAGATCAGTTCCTCCCCAACCTATTACGACTAGATAGTTTATAGAATACCGTCTATTTATCTATCACCTCCTCCTCATTCCAGGGGTGATGCGCAGGAATGCCGTGGGTTTATAAATCAAATCGATTATCACATTAAAGTTTCTCCTGGCTCCTTCCCTTCTGACAGATCTAAAATAGGGTACCTGATGAATTGACTAGAAAGGCACTTATTTGGGCCAATCCGTTATGGGAGAGCAGTAAGTCGATCACTTATAACTATGCTCAATTCCTTGCTAAATTTAAACTGTTATGGGCAAATGCAAATATTGCATTCCTCAAAATGTGTACTTTGTCTTTAAGAGATATTGCAAACTGACAAGGTGTTAGAAATGGAACATATTGTTTTTCATACATGTTTCTTTAAGCAATAACTAATTACTTACCTTCAGTGCATATTATGTTTACGCCACTTTTGTCCCAGACAAATTACAATAACAATAATGCATAAACAAGCTTCAATGCTATGTTATGACTCTTTCAGTACATAATATTTTGTGGTTACCCTAAGTAGATAAAGATGTTCAGATTTTAAGATGCCATCTTGTCCTAAGTCAGGGAATTTTCCATGACGTGTACACCCTTTAGTTATGGCCTTGTATTTTTGCCAAGTTAAGGGAGGTGACACTTAAATGAAGACACCTAAGGTATAAATAGGTGTACTTTTAAATGTTAAAGGAACACTATAGTCACAAATTATTTTAGCTAAATGAAGCTGTTTTAGTGTATAGATCATTCCCCTGAAATTTCACTGCTCAATTCACTGTCATTTAGGAGTTAAATCACTTTGTTTCTGTTTATGCAGCCCTAGCCACACCTCCCTTGGCTATGATTGACAGAGCCTGCATGAAAAAAAAACTGGTTTCACTTTCAAACAGATGTAATTTACCTTAAATAATTGTATCTCAATCTCTATATTGAACTTTAATCACATACAGGAGGCTCTTGCAGGGTCTAGCAAGCTATTAACATAGCAGGGGATAAGAACATCTTAATTAAACAGAACTTGCAATAAAGAAGGCCTAAATAGGGCTCTCTTTACAGGAAGTGTTTATGGAAGGCTGTGCAAGTCACATGGAGGGAGGTGTGACTAGGGTTCATAAACAAAGGAATTTAACTCCGAAATGGCAGAGGATTGAGCAGTGAGGCTGCAGGGGCATGTTCTATACACCAACACTGCTTCATTAAGCTAAATTTGTTCAGGTGACTATAGTGTCCCTTTAACAAAGAGAGAGGAGAGATTTGGAGACAGACGCTTCTCCATCTTAAAATGAGAGAGAGGCTGACATGATGACATGTTAAGGAGGATATGTAACTCTATTAATGATATTTGCAAGCATTTAGTTTAATCTTATAAACTCTAATGGATTTTATATGTCTATATTTATATATAATAAATATCTTAAAAAGGACAAAACTTTATTGCTTCCAAGGCAATCCTTATTTTGTATTGTATTCTCAATTATTTATATATGTTAAATAGAGGATCTCTTACTACTCTTAAAATTATGGCTAAGATATCTGTATGGTTATCCCTGCTATGTTCTATGCTTTAAGACGTTATAGTGGTAAATAAGGGAACCAGCCGCGGTATCCATCATGGCAACGTACAGTAGCTGATTACGCTATAGAGTGCAATACTCTCGCATCAGAGATTGATTGGACAAACAGTAACTTAGTTATTGCCTTCTCAGAAGGGTTGACTGATGCTATACTTGGTACGATGACTGCCAGAGAAATACCAGATAAACTAAGCGACTACATCACTTATATTATGCATATTAACAATAGACTAAAAGAGAAAGAGAATTAAAAACAAGGCAAGATGTATTGTTGCACCTCTTGCACCCTGTTTCTCTACTCTTGTTTTCCACAATCCTTCTGCGTTAGCAGAACCTAAACCTATGCAATCTGAATCAGAAAAACAGTTTAGGAGAAGTGAGGGTCTCTGCATGTATTGTGGCAAGAAGGGACATATGAGAAACAATTGTCCAGTATGCCCGGAAAATTTGTGCACCTAAGGACCACAAGAGGAACGGCCTTGCTCAGTTTTACAACATAGAGGTTTCTTGCGAAGCTCTAGTTTATTCACGAGCCGCAGAGAACTTTGTAGACACCCACTTTGTGTCTGTACATGCTATACCTTAAAGGAGAGGTCCACACCTTTGGCCGTTAAGGCCATAGATGGTAGACCTCTTAAGAAAGCCTTGCGTGCCCATGACCCTGATGCTGGTTCACCGGTTATCCTTTCTTGCACCACTTTTGGTCGGTACTAATTGCTGCATACAGAGAACATCCTACAAAACTTGCTGTTTTGAAGATGCTCTGACCCAGTTTTTTTAGCCATCATTATTTGGCCCTTGTCAAAGTTACTCAGATCTTTTCACTCAACCATTTTTCCTGCTTACAACACATGAAATTCAAGGACTGACTGTTCACTTGCTGCCTAATATATCCCACCCATTGACAGGTGCACAGAAGACCTTCTCCTATATCTTTGTCGGTAGGGGCTTAACATAAGGCACCTTCCAGGTTATTTCCTCGCCTTCATGTCCAATTGTACTTGGGTTTCCATGGCTGATCAAACATAATGCGCGTAGAAGTTTGAAAAAGGGGGAGATACTGGCATGGGGAGAGGAGTGTAGACAAGTTTGCTATTTACCAGTGACTAAACAATTAAACACCATGAACTTGCCTACTGCCACTCCTCTTTCAACAAAGACTCCCATCTAATACATGAAAGTTAAAGAGGTGTTTAATAAGGTACATAGATTGTATAATTAATCCATAGAGCTATTGCCGGGTACGATGCCTACTAAGGGAAGAGTATATATCCTGTCTCCCCTGGAGAGCAAAATCATGGCAGAATATATACAAGAGTCATAAGCCAAGGGGCATATATGTATACCCTCTTTTCTGGCTGAAGCAGGGTCTTTTGGGGGGTTTATCATAAAAAAGAGAGTGATCTACATCTGTGTACTGAACACAGGGTGCTTAACAAAATTACTATAAGAAATGTTTACACTATATCTCTCATATCAGAACTATTTGACGGACTAAAAGGGGCTAGATTGTTTACCAAACTTGACCTAAGGAGCGCTTATGATGGTAGTAAGGATAAAAGAAAGTCATGAGTAAAAATCCGCTTTTAATACTAGTCTTTCAGGACCTCAGAAACAAATGTCCTAATGGAGTATATTTATTCTTTTGTCTTGGTATACCTCGATGATATACTTATTTACTCCCCTGATCTGAGAACTCACCATGTACAAGTTGCACCATGTGCATGTGCAAGTTAAACAAGTTCCGCAGACTCTGCTTAAAAACAGTTTATATTGTAAATTCAAAAAAATGTGCAGCTGAATTGCAATGGCCTTTATCTCATGGATTAAAAGCCTTCCAAAGGTTTGTCGGGTTTGCGAAACTATTACCGTAGGTTCATCAAAGGATTTTCTTCATTAATAGCCAATCGTACACGTAAGGGCGTGAAAAGCGATTTATGGCCTAAAGAGGCTCCTGATGCTTTTGAGCATCTTAAAGCACAGTTTGCTTCAGCCCCTATCCTCATACATTCTGACCCTAGAGAACCATTTATCCTAGAGGAAGATGCTTCTGAAACTGGGGTTGTAGCTGTCCTTTCCCAGAGAGTGCCATGATAAACCTTTACATCCATGTGGGTTCAAAAAATTGTTACCAGGAAAACGGATTATGACATAGGCAACACGGAACTGCTGGCTCTCATCTTAGCCCCTGTCAGGATAAACTAATGCCCAACACGCAGAACTTAAGTAGAAAATACAGAAAACCCTGAGACGTATTACCAGGCCTTAGAACGGACGGATTTAAGTATGAAAGGAAAAACCCAAAGACAGGTTGTGGACAAGAACATAGAAACTTTAAGCAAGCCAAAGGTCGAGGAATATAGAAGTCAGAATAGGCAGGAGCCAAGCCAAAGTTCAAGGGATACAGAGATGAGAATAGTCAGTAAGAAAGCCAAACGTCAAAATACACAAGAAACAGAAACGCGCTCTCTCCAGAATGGAAACCACGACAGGGCACAGAGAAATGGACAAAGAAGGTTTAAATAGACTAAGGTGCTCCTTGATAGGCTGCAGGGAAGCATGTAACAATGAACGTGTGTGTGACGTCACACACGTTTCAAATGGTTAGGTAATGGAAGGGTTAAATATGAACCTTAAAAAGGTTCTAACTTGCAGCGGTCAGTGTGTCTAATGTTTACAGACCCAGACGCTGTGTAAGGGGAGGAGTGTCTGTCAGTGAGGCCGGAGGGCGTTGCGGGAGGAGGTGAGTGATAGGCGGCATTCCCATTACCACGTGGGCATTCCCATTACCACGAGATGTGCCCTCTGGGTCCCAGTCCACTCCTGGGCAAGACCGGATGCGGCAGGTGTCTGGAGGCAGTGTGAGTATGTGGGAATGCCACCGCACCAACATGCGCCCCCGGGACCCATACCGCTCTCTGCAAAGAGTGGACCCGGCGGGAGGCATGACAGCCCTTAAGGAATGGATCCCACACTGCTGAGTCCACACAAACAGACAGCTGAGTCCATACACATATACACAGACTGCTGAGTCCACACACACAGACTGCTGAATCCATGCACACATACACACACAGACTGCTGAGTCCATACACATACACACACAGACTGCTGAGTCCATACACACACACACACACACAGACTGCTGAGTCCATACACACACACACACACACAAACTGCTGAGTCCATACACACACACACAAACTGCTGAGTCCATACACACACACACACACACATACACAAACACACACAAACTGCTGATCCATACATACACACAGACTGCTGAGTCCATGCACACACACACAGACTGCTGAGTCCATGCACACATACACACACACACAGACTGCTATGTCCATACACACACACAAACTGCTGAGTCCATACACACACACACACACAGACTGCTGAGTCCATATACACACACAGACTGCTGAGTCCATATACACACACACACACACAGACCGCTGAGTCCATACACACACACACAGACTCTGCTGAGTCCGTACACACACACAGACTCTGCTGAGTCCGTACACACACACAGACTGCTGAGTCCATACACACACACAAACTGCTGAGTCCATACACACACACACACTGCTGAGTCCATACAAATACAGACTGCTGAGTCCATACACATACACACACACAGACTGCTGAGTCCATACACACACACACACCAACTGCTATGTCCATACACACACACACCAACTGCTATGTCCATACACACACACACACCAACTGCTATGTCCATACACACACATAGACTGCTGAGTCCATACACACACATAGACTGCTGAGTCCATACACACACAGACTGCTGAGTCCATACACACACAGACTGCTGAGTCCATACACACACACCCACGCATACACACACACTGAGTCCATACACACACACACACACTGAGTCCATACACACACACACCGCTGAGTCAATACAGACACAGACCGCTGAGTCCATACACACACAGACCGCTGAGTCCATACACACACAGACCGCTGAGTCCATACACACACAGACACAGACTGCTGAATCCATACACACACAGACCGCTGAGTCCATACACACACAGACACAGACTGCTGAATCCATACACACACAGACTGCTGAGTCCACACACACAGACTGCTATGTCCACACACACAGACTGCTATGTCCACACACACACACACACACACACACACACACAGAGACTGCTGAGTCCATACACACACACGCAGACTGCTGAGTCCATACACACACACACCCACGCACACACACACTGCTGAGTCCATGCACACACACACACTGAGTCCATACACACACACACCTGAGTCCATACAGACACAGACCGCTGAGTCCATACACACACACAGAGACTGCTGAGTTCATACACACACAGACTGCTGAGTCCATACACACACACACGCAAACTGCTGAGTCCATACACACACACTGAGTCCATACACACACAGACTGCTATGTCCATACACACACAGACTGCTGAGTCCATGCACACACAGACTGCTGAGTCCATGCACACACAGACTGCTGAGTCCATGCACACACAGACTGCTGAGTCCATACACACACAGACTGCTGAGTCCATACACACACACACACAGACTGCTGAGTCTATACACACACAGACTGCTGAGTCCATACACACACAGACTGCTGAGTCCATACACACACAGACACAGACTGCTGAGTCCATACATACACCGACTGCTGAGTCCATACACACACAGAGACAGCTGAGTCCATACACACAGACTGCTGAGTCCATACACACACACAGACTGCTGAGTCCATGCACACACACACACAGACTGCTGAGTCCATGCACACACACATACACAGACTGCTGAGTCCATGCACACACACATACACAGACTGCGGAGTCCATACACACACACACGCAAACTGCTGAGTCCATACACACACACCCACACACCCACCCACTGCTGAGTCCATGCGCACACACACAAACTGCTGAGTCCATACACACACACTGAGTCCATACACACACAGACTGCTATGTCCATACACACACAGACTGCTATGTCCATACACACACAGACTGCTGAGTCCATGCACACACAGACTGCTGAGTCCATACACACACACACACACTGAGTCTACACACACTCTGAGTCCATACACACACACAGACTGTTGAGTCCATACAGACACAGACCGCTGAGTCTATACACACACAGACTGCTGAATCCATACACACACCCACCCACTGCTGAGTCCATGCGCACACACACAGACTGCTATGTCCATACACACACACAGACTGCTATGTCCATACACACACACAGACCGCTGAGTCCATGCACACACAGACCGCTGAGTCCATGCACACACAGACCGCTGAGTCCATGCACACACAGACCGCTGAGTCCATGCACACACAGACCGCTGAGTCCATACACACACAGACCGCTGAGTCCATACACACACAGACCGCTGAGTCCATGCACACACACACACTGCTGAGTCCATGCACACACACACACTGCTGAGTCCATACACACACAGACTGCTCTGACCATACACACACACACACACACATCATAAACCTTAACTCCCAAGGTCTCCCACTCCCTCTAACATGTAAACTCACGCGCAGGACCGTCAATCCCTCTGTTACTGTGTAAACTCACTGTTCAGGCCCTCAATCCCTCTGTTACTGTGTCACTATACCCCACTCCCTCTAGCATGTAAACTCACTGAGCAGGGCTCTCAATCCCTCTGTTACTGTGTCCCTATACCCCACTCCCTCTAACATGTAAAGTCATTGAGCAGGGCCCCAATCCCTCTGTTACTGTGTCACTATACCCCACTCCCTCTAACATGTAAACTCACTGAGCAGGGCCCCAATCCCTCTGTTACTGTCATTATACCCCACTCCCTCTAACATGTAAGCTCACTGAGCAGGACCCTCAATCCCTCTGTTACTGTGTCACTATACCCCACTCCCTCTAACATGTAAACTCACTGAGCAGGGCCCTCAATCCCTCTGTTACTGTGTCACTATACCCCACTCCCTCTAACATTTAAGCTCACTGAGCAGGACCCTCAATCCCTCTGTTACTGTGTCACTATACCCCACTCCCTCTAACATGTAAACTCACTGAGCAGGCCCTCAATCCCTCTGTTACTGTTACTATACCCCACTCCCTCTAACATGTAAACTCACTGAGCAGGACCTCAATCCCTCTGTTACTGTGTCACTATACCCCCACTCCCTCTAACATGTAAACTCACTGAGCAGGCCCTCAATCCCTCTGTTACTGTGTCACTATACCCCACTCCCTCTAACATGTAAACTCACTGAGCAGGCCCTCAATCCCTCTGTTACTGTGTCACTATACCCCACTCCCTCTAACATGTAAACTCACTGAGCAGGACCCTCAACCCCTCTGTTACTGTGTCACTATACCCCACTCCCTCTAACATGTAAACTCACTGAGCAGGCCCTCAATCCCTCTGTTACTGTGTCACTATACCCCACTCCCTCTAACATGTAAACTCACTGAGCAGGGCTCTCAATCCCTCTGTTACTGTGTCCCTATACCCCACTCCCTCTAACATGTAACCTCACTGAGCAGGCCCTCAATCCCTCTGTTACTGTGTCACTATACCCCACTCCCTCTAACATGTAAACTCACTGATCAGGGCCCTCAATCCCTCTGTTACTGTGTCACTATACCCCACTCCCTCTAACATGTTACCTCACTGAGCAGGACCCTCAATCCCTCTGTTACGGTCACTATACCCCACTCCCTCTAACATGTAAACTCACTGAGCAGGTCCTCAATCCCTCTGTTACTGTGTCACTATACCCCACTCCCTCTAACATGTAAACTCACTGAGCAGGCCCTCAATCCCTCTGTTACTGTGTCACTATACCCCACTCCCTCTAACATGTAAACTCACTGAGCAGGCCCCTCAATCCCTCTGTTACTGTGTCACTATACCCCACTCCCTCTAACATGTAAAGTCACTGAGCAGGCCCTCAATCCCTCTGTTACTGTGTCACTATACCCCACTCCCTCTAACATGTAAACTCACTGAGCAGGGCCCTCAATCCCTCTGTTACTGTGTCACTATACCCCACTCCCTCTAACATGTAAACTCACTGAGCAGGGCCCTCAATCCCTCTGTTAGTGTCACTATACCCCATTTCCTCTAACATGTAAACTCACTGAGCAGGGCCCTCAATCCCTCTGTTACTGTGTCACTATACCCCACTCCCTCTAATATGTAAACTCACTGAGCAGGGCCTCAATCCCTCTGTTACTGTGTCACTATACCCCACTCCCTCTAGCATGTAAGCTCACCGAGCAGGCCCTCATTCCCTCTGTTACTGTGTCACTATACCCCACTCCCTCTAGCATGTAAACTCACTGAGCAAGGCCTCAATCCCTCTGTTACTGTGTCACTATACCCCACTCCCTCTAACATGTAAACTCACTGAGCAGGGCCTCAATCCCTCTGTTACTGTGTCACTATACCCCACTCCCTCTAACATGTAAACTCACTGAGCAGGCCCTCAATCCCTCTGTTAATGTCACTATACCCCACTCCCTCTAACATGTAAACTCACTGAGCAGGCCCTCAATCCCTCTGTTACTGTCACTATACCCCACTCCCTCTAACATGTAAACTCAC